CAGGCCCTCCTCTTGCACAGGCTTAGGATGTTTACAAAGTAAGGACCCTGGCTCCCTGCTGAGTTGCTTAGTTAAACTCTTAGTTAAACTTATATGAGAAGTTATATAAGCCAAACCTTGCTGATGTAAAGGAACAAAGCAAAAGGCACTACACTACCTGCTTTAAAACATACTACAAAATGGTAGTAAACAAAAGAGTATAGTATTGATATGGTTTATGTCTGTGTGTCCCCTCCAAAGCCTCAAGTGACCATGGGGCAGGCTATTAAAGTTGAATGATTGTGGGTGTGAGAGCTACACCCGCCCTGGGGTGGATAGTTTGCATATGTAAGGGAGAGGAAAAGAGTGCTTGAAGACATTCTTCCCCCATCCGCCCTGGTGTGTGGTTGTTGCTTAGCTGTGTTCTGCCACCCTGAGCTGTAGCTCTCTTTACCATGTGCCCTTCTGCCTTATAATCTGCCAAGTATGGACTGAAACTTCCATGAACTGTAAGCAAAATAAACCTTTCCTTCCTTAATTTTGGGCATCAGGTATTTTGCCCCAGCAGCGAGAAAAAAGTAACCAAGACAGAATTTGGTACCAGGAGTGGGGTCATTGCTGTGGCTATATCTGATCATGTGGTTCAAAAGCCTTTGGAAATGGCTTGTGGGAAGTGTTTGGAAAGGTTTGGAGTTGTTGCCTGAAAGAGAAGCACTAGAACACCTTCGGCTGTTCTGTCTGGGAGATTCTGGTCAGAGCACAGAAGACCAGAAGGCTAATAGAAATTCTGCCAGTAAAGACCAGGTTCGGGAGGTTTCTGTTGGGAAGAAGGACTTCATTGGTTGTTGGACTCCAGACCATGTGTGTTATGGCTTGGCAGAAAGTTTGTCTGCATTTTGTTCGTGTCCAGAGACTTTGCCTAAGACTGAAATTAAGGGCAGCAGTGGACTGATTAATCTGGCAAAAGAAATTTCAAGGCAGTCGAACATTGGGGCAGTGGCATGGCTATTGTTGGGAGCTTTTAGCCAGATTTATATTGAAAATCAAGAGCAAAGAGCCCAGCAGGATGATTTAAAATGTTGTGAGTTTGGCCAGAAAGGAAGCTCCAGTATTGCTGTGGACTGCAAAGAGAAGGCTGAGGAGATCTCTATTGCTGAGAAGGAATGGGAGAATAGAAAAGATGGCCTGAGGGCATCACAAGAAGCAGCAAATCTCCACCCTTTGCAGCCTCAAAACTGCAAAGGTGAAAGACCTTGCCTTGAGAAAAAAGCTGCTGAGCGTCATGTTCCAGAATGGCGGCGGCAGCATAGAGGATCTGTTCCTCAGAATTGGATTCAGAGTGCCCAGCGATCCAGGCACTCGACCCCTGTGGCCAAGAGAAGTATTAACACTGACACCTTTACCAATGATATAGAGTAGAGATTCCTGAAATAGCCAACACATCTATAGCCAACTGATTCTCAACAAAGGTGCCAAAAGCATATATTGGAGGGAGTCTCTTCAACAAATGGTTTTGGAAAAATTGGATATCCATATGCAGAAGAATGAAACTAAACTGCTTTCACCAGGTTCAAAAATCAACTCAAAATGAATTAAAAACTTAAAGGTAATACCTTAAGTTATGGCACGACTAGAAGAAAACAAAGAAAATGCTTCTGGATATTTGAATGGGCTAAGATTTTTTTAGATAAGACCCCAAAAGCAGAGGAAACAAGAGCAAAAATAGGCAAATGGGATAGCACATGTACAGTGTTTCTTCTGCATAGCAAACATTCAACAGAGTATAGAAACAACCTGCAGAATGGGAGAAAATATTTGCAAACTCTACCTCCAACAAGAGGTTGATATCCAGAATATATCAGGAACTCTAAAACTTCAGTAGAAAAAAGAAATAAAAAATGGGCAATAGATTGAAATAGGCACTTCTTTAAAAAATGATATATAAGTGGCTAACAGGTATATGAAAAAATACTCAACATCATTAATCAAGGAAATGCAAATCAAAACCTTATTGAGACACCACCTAATCCCAGTAAAAACGAGGTTGATAAAACCACAGAAAACAAGTGTTGAGGAGAAAAGAGAACCCTTGTACAGTGCTGGTGGGAATGTGAATTTGTTCAGTCATTGTAGAAAATGGCAGGATGGCATGGTGATCCCTCAGTAAATTAAAACTAGAACTAGCATAGGATTCAGAAATACCACTACTGGTTATGTACACAAAGGAAATGCAATCAGTATGTTGAAGAGACATCTGCATTCCTATTTTTATTGCAGCACTATATACAAGAGCCAAGAAATGAAAACAATTTGACTTTCATCAGTGGATGGGCAAATGATGAATGGCATATATAAACAATAAAATGCTGGATAGAACTGGAGATCATTATGTTAAGTGAAATAAACAAAGCAGAGAAAGACAGTACTGTATGATCTCACTCAGATGTAGAATCTAAAAATATTGAACTCAGAAGTAGAGAGTAGAGTAGTAGTTATCAGAGGCTATAGAGATGGGTTGGGAGAGATGGGAAAAGGATGGGTATTAAGTTAAGGTGGAAGTTCTGGAGTACACAGCAGGGTAACTGTAGATAACAATGATATACCATACATTTTAAAAAGCTAGAAGAAAGGATTTTGAAAGTTTTTACCATAAAGAAATGATGTCTGGACCAGAGATGTAGCTCAGAAGCACAGTGCCTGCTTGGCAAGTGCAAGGCCCTGAGTTCAATTCCCGGTACAAAAAAAAAGAAGAGCAGATAGCTATGTTTAACCTATTTTGAGCATTATGCAATATATACATGTACCTAAACATTACACAAGAAGCTATACATAAGCCATTTTTCATAGAGTTCCTAAGGTTGTTAGATTAATAGAGGATTAAATACATGTAACAGTTACATCCTGAATTCACAATGTCTTACATTATAGACACCCTGCTGTCAATTTTATATTTGTGGTAATTGAGCTTATGAAACTCTCAAAAGTGGGGCTGGGGATTTAGCTCAGCGGTGCAGCGCCTGCCTGGCAAGTGCAAGGTCGTGAGTTTGATTCCCGGTACTAGGAAAACAAAAAACAAACAAAAAAAAAGACTCTCAAAAGATAGAAATACTGATAACTCTCACTATGTCTCCTACAATACTCTTCTTATGTTGAAAAAGAATTTGAGTCTAAGGTAAAGGTCAGAGCCCAGCAAGATTATCTAATTTGCTGTCAATCTTTTTACATTTCAATTTGGGAACATTTTGTTGATACACTTTCATACTGACATGATTCCTTGGTTGTGTCTATCTAGTAATAAGCCCATCTAAGGCATTCTTTATATGTTTTTTAAACTTCTGTAATTACATTACCCATCTGTTCTTCTGTATTTTCCACATTTTTCCAGCCTGTGGTCATAGTTATTCAAAATTGCCACGTAATAATCCTTAAATGTGTCATAGCTGAATCTGATTCTGATGCTAACTTTGTCTCCTAGCAAATTGCCTTTAATTTTGTAGTTTTTTGCTGTGGTTGAAAGCTGGATGTGAGGTATTAGACAGCAGGAACCTAGGCCTGTAGTGTGAGATTTTACATATGGCCAGGAGTTGGACTCTGGTTAATGTTTGGTGTAGCTTAGGTGCCAGAGCCTTCGAACTTCTCTTGGTTTTTGCCTCCCATTGCTGTCATTGGATTTCCTTAAGAATTCCTTGTCTGAGAGAATATTTTGCAGGACTTCTTGCTGTAATCCAGTTATACTGGAAGCTTATTGGTGTGGTGTGTGGGAAAGGGGAAGTGTTCTAGGATTTTAAGGCTCTTCCTCAGTCTTTTAGTATGGCCCTGACTTTACAAGTGTCTCTTAGCTGCTCTGCACCTTACCCGTCTTAAATAAGACAGAAAGTTTAGAGAACTGTAGTCAGAGAAATCAGAGAAAAGTCCCTGCCCAGGTGAAATAAGGTTAGCTCTGGTAAAATCTCCCCACACCCTACCCCTGCATAGTAGGCCTTTATTCTGCAAACACTCTGGACTATTTCACCATGATTATTCTTCCTCTCCTCACCAGATCCACAGAAAATGTTTCTTGGTTGTTCACTACTAGAACCTGGAGGAATTCCTGGAGGCACAATGTATGGAAGGCTGGGAACCCCTTAAGAATATGCCCTCCAGCAGTTTCTCTCATGCTAGTACACTGAATTCCACTCCCTCTCTCCAAATCTCAAGGTGATGGTTTGTCTTATGATCTGATTTCTATGAGGGATCCAAGAAAAGTCATTGATTTTTAATTCGTCAAGGTTTCATTTGTTGCAGTTTGGTTTGGTTTGGGGTTTAAGGTTGAGAGTGGTAACTTCCAAGTTCAATATATTATTAACCTTTAAACAGACCCGAATTCAAACTAGGATGACAATTTAAATCAAGTTATACTACTACGTTGTAAAACAACTTTATTTTTGACCAGATTTCTCAAAGTGTATCAGTATATGTGACTAACTTTTTGGTCCTATTGTATTTTCTTAAATTCCGTTTAAAAAGGACTTCAGTGTTTCCAGTGAAATAAAGCAGACCAAAATCCCGCCACCATCTATGTATGTGGCTCTCTCCTTGGCACCTGGACCGTAGCGCAGTAAGACGCGTGTACCGTAAGGCATTTGCACCCCAAAGCTTACTGACACCTCCTGTGAAGCCCGGGCTGCGGCAAGGAAGCCGCGCTCCCGGGAGCCCGCCCTCGGCCCAGCCCGGAGGCCGAGTGGGCAGGACGCGCGCGGGAACCGGCTTCGCTTTAGTACTCAGCTGTAGCTGAGTATTTATTTGAAAATAGTTTCTGCAGGCGTCGCCGTGGCTCGTAAGGCCTAGAGTTCGGCCGTCCGCAGGAAATCCTCGGCCCCCCGGCGGCCCGCGGAGGACAGGCCTCCGTCGGTTTGAATTTGGCGCTACTGGGCCTATTAGGCCAGTGGAAGCAGCCCTCCGGCGGCTCTGAAGAAGCTCGATGCCGATTGGGTCTCGCCTCGTCCAATGGGAGGCAGCCTCCTGCGCGGGTTGGCGGCGGCCGTTGCCGCGACACCGAGTAAACACCGAGCGTGCGGCGGGAGCGGTGGCGGCTGCTGCGGCGGAAGTTGGTTGCTTCAGGAACCTGAAAGGGAGAAACCTGATTTTCGTCAGCCAAGATGGTGAGCCAGCTGGGGTACTCCAGGCCACTGTCCAACTGTTGTTTAGAGCTCGCCTGCTTAAAAAAAACCAAAAAACTCTGCAAGTGCCTAATGTGAGAATGAAGCTGGAAACTTGCGTTTGCTCTCCTCTAGCAACGCCGTGGTTTCCTTCCTTTTCTGCACCGCCTCCCCTTAGGTACATCAGTACATCTGCCTCTGGACTCCTGGTGCAAATGAATGGAAACAGTCCAGGAGAGCCGCGATTAGGTTAGGAAAACTCGGCCAGCTGCTGAGCAGGACTTTGTGGCCATGGGGTGGTGTGCTGGGTAGACTTGGAGGAGGAATGAATTCCTCGGTGGTGCTGAAGAGCTAGGTCTGTGGAGCTCGGCTGCAGTCTTTCAATCCTAGTAGCACTTTTACTTTTCGTGCCTCAGGTATAAAATAGAGAGTATTAGTACCTATCTGATACATCATTGTATTGGGCAGCCACGTTTAATATTTTTCTTTCTTTTTTAAGAGTAAGAAGAATTTATTAAAAGAAAGAATACTTCTGTTTGAGAGGGACAGAAGGGGGCCCAGGAAGTGGATAGCCTCTGAACATCTTTTCATGTGGCTATTGGCTTTTGTATATCTTCTTTAAAGAAATTGTTCAAATTCTTTACCTAGTTGACTGTTTAGAAATGAAAACTTATTCATTTCTCTCCTGTGATCCCCCTTTACCAAATCACAAAATTTTCTGGAGCAGATATGTTGCCATTACAAGAATACTTTTATTACATTCTAGGTGGAAGAATATGCCAAAGGAAAGAATACTAGTCAGTTCTCTGTTGCATGGTAATGTTAATGAAAACAAGGGATTCTGAGAAAAAACTGCTTTATAAGAAATGCTTGAAGGAAGCCAAAACTGTTACCTGTGTTTGTATCGTTTGGTATAGACGAAAGAGACTTTGGAATGTTGAATATGCATACTTTTGTTTTTTTTCCATTGTAGGCTTCCAAAAGGAGAACTTTGAGCTTTAGTGAAAGGCATCAAAAATTAGTAGATCAAAACTACTGCAAAAAATTGCATGTCGGAGCAATGAAAGAGATAGAGAGTCAAGTCAGGAATCAAACTGTGCAGAATGAAAATGATGACCGTGTTGAGCGCAAGAGATTCCTCAGGTTATTACAGGATGAGCAGTTTGAGTTGGATTTGGAAGAAGCCATCCAAAAAGTAAGTTTTAATATTCCTTATTAATTTTCATTGTTTGCACTTTGGAAATGATGAGACCAGCAGCAGGTAAAGATGCCTCACTGTATTTGGTTATAACACTGTATTTGGTTATTTCTGAGTCCCTCTTAATCTAAAGTTGTCCCTCTTCATTGGTTGTTTTAAGAACTTCATGCTTTTAACATGTTAAAAGAAACTAGGCTGGTTGTTTCATAGAATATCCCACATTCTGTATTTATCTGCTTGCTTCCGCATGGTCCCTTTTACTGGGGCCTCTCTTCTGCTTCCTTTAGGTGAAGTTAGTCCTAAAGACACGATCAGATTGCAAACCACCTCTTTTTGGCAAGAACACTCCATGGTTGATACTGCTGTCCTTGGTATTATGTCTCATCTAGAAGCTCATGAAGTCTGGTTATTCCACTTCAGTGATGCCAGTATTGATTAGCAGATTCCATGAGGCAGCCTGATCACTGTAACAATTCCCATCACATTTTCACAAAATAATCTTTCATTAGAGGTTGCAAATCATTGATTTTCTAATTCTATTATTCCTTCACATTTAATTAAGCAAAATTTCTCTGTAATGAGCTTACTTTTAATGAGGCTTGTATTTATTTATTTATTTATTTTTGGTACTGGGAATCAAACTCAGGACCTTATGCTTGCCAGGTGGGAGCTGGGCTGCTGAGCTACAGGCTTGTTTTTACTAGAAAAGAACATAGTTAATTTTAGAGTGAAGAATTGGTGCTATGGTTACTTCCATTGGTGTCTGTTTATATTGTAGTTGTTTTTAAGTTGTTGTGTTTAGTTTTTGACTTTTTGTCTTTTAAAAAGTATCTTTATGGATTCATGAACCTTATATACTTACAATTACATTTATTGCTCAGATTACCCTCTTTAGTCAGTGAATGCCTTTTATATTTCTTCTGTGTCCTTTTGACAAGATATGCTTAATCTTTGCTATCTTTCTTGCTTTCAGATAGAACAAAATGTTCCAGGCTTCTGATAGTTAATGTTATGTGTCAACTTGATTGGGCTATGGTGTGCCTAGATATTTGATCAGGCATTATTCTGAGTGTTTCTGTGATGTTGTTTATGGATGACATTAACATTTAAATTGATAGACTGAGTGAAATAGTGAGGGTGGACCTCGTCCAATTAATTAAAGGCCTGAATAAACAAAAAGGATAACCTTCACCAAGTAGGAGAGAATTCTTCCTGCCTGACTACTTGTGAACTGCTACATCTAATTTTTTTTCCTGCTGTTGGACTTAACTGAAACATTAGCTCTTGCTAGGTCTCCAGTCTGCTACTCTTTGGATAGGAACTACCCTATTGGCCTTCAGACTCAGTCCAGTGAAATCACTGGCTCTTCAGGTTGCCAGCCCTTACTGCAGATCTTGCGACTTGGGAGCCTCCATAATCACTTTCTTGGCAGAACCCCAATTAATGTATATTTTTAATCCTTTACCTGGAACTAGCCATTGTGCCATGGAGCTATATTATCATTCAGTACAAGTAATAATTTGGGTGCTAGGTGTGCTCATTATTGCTGGGTTATTATTGCTGCTGTGTCTTTTCAGTGGAAAAAATTTGGAAATAAACATTTGGAAATTAACATCTTAAATAGAAAGATAAAAATCATATTCTTTGATAATTTATCAGGACAGAAGTTAGCTTTGATACAATGCTGTTAACTAAACTATGGGATTGTCTTAGTCATTTTCTCATTGCTGAGGTACAATATACAAAACCCAAAAGTTAAAGGAAGAAAGGCTTATTTTGCTCACAGTTTGTAGAGGTTTCAGTCCATGGTTAGCTGGCTTTAAGGCGAGGCAGCATGGCAGAAGAGAAAGAGCTCATGGCATGGCAGGCAGGAAGCAGAATTGGTTCAAGGAGTATTACACTTGTGTTCAGATGTCCCCCCTAAAGACTCAGGCACTCATAGGTGGGGCTTTTTGGAGCTGGCTGGATGTAGGAGGTGATGATGGGATTGAGGATATGTGTCACTAAATTAGTCCACTGATTGGAATTAGCTTAGTTCTTGTGTGGCTAAATGGATTTATTGAAGACAGAAGACACCCTGCATGCGGGTGTCACCAGCAAAAAGGGTTGTATCCTAGATGGGATAAAAGGGTTAGACAGATTTGCTGCTGCTGCTTTCTGCCTTCTGCCCACCCTGCATTACCATGAACTGTTTCTCTTCTGCAATGCCCCTCTGCCATGCCACCCTGCCTTAGAGCCAGCCAACTGAGCAAAATGTCTACAAAATGTGAGGTAAATAAACCTTTCCTCCCTTAATAATTGTCTTAGCAACAAGAAAAGTAACCATATAGATTTTGGTACCAGAGAAATGGGGTTGTTACTATGATACTACCTGACCATGTGGTCCAGGAACCTTTGGAACTGGATGGTGGAAAGAGTTTGGAAAGGTTTGGAGATGCTGGCTGAAAAGGTGGCCTTGGACTACTTTAAGCTGTGCTTGATGGGAGATTCTGGTCAGAGTTCAGAAGACCAGAATCATGATAGAAATGCAGCCAGTAAAAACCAGGCTCAAGAAGTTTCAGTTTGAAACGAGGACTGCATTGGTTGTTGGACTCCAGACCATGTGTGTTATCCTTTAGCAGAAAATGTGCGTGCATTTTGCTCATGTCCAGAGACTTTGCCTGAGACTGAGATTAAAGGCAGAGGTTAATTAATCTTGCAGAAGAAATTTCAAGGCAATATAATATTGAGGAGGTGGCATAGCTACTTTTGAGTAGATTTATGTTGAGAATCAAGAACAAAGAGCCTGGCAGAGTGATTTAGAACATTTTGAGTTTGGCCAGAAAGAAAGCTCCAGTAAAGTTGCAGACTACAAAAGAGCAGCAGAGAACTTGGCTGCTGAGAAGCAAGAAGGCCCAGGAACATTATAAGAACCAGCAGAACTCCACATTCTGCAGCCTCAACATCACAAAAGTGAAAGATGCTTTCAGAAGAGAATCCCAGTGCACCATGTTTCAGAATGGCAGTAGTCTAGAGGATTTGCTCCTCCTAGTCAAGAGAGAAGGAAGCTTGTTGACTGCCAGCTGGTGGCAGACTTTGGTGTCATCCATGTGGTGCTGATTTTAGATGCATGCAGAATGCAAGAGTTGTGCAGTCATAAAGGCTTCTATCCAGATTTCAGAAAAAGGTCTGGGAGGCCAGGCAGTGTGCCCCTGAGAGGGTAGTGCATGAATCTGTGATTGGAAGCCAAAGGTGCCCTAGCCCCCAGAAGGTTGGAGAAGCCAAGAATGTGGATCATCTGAGGAAAGCCATAAGGAGCGAGCAAAACCAGCCCAAAAGAGAAGCCATGGGAACTACAACCACTAGCAGTGCCATAAGGGCAGAGAACCCAAGGCCCTTGGAGTTCACATTTTGCCACAGGGTACCTTGGATGCTGGACATGAAATTACAGGACTTAATATTTGCCCTGCTGGATTTTGGACTTATTTTGCTACCATTCCTTTCTGTCCTGCTATTTATACCTTTGGAATGGGAATGTTAATCCTATGCCATTGTATGTTGGAAGTGTATAACTTTCTTTTTATTTGTACAGGGGCTCACAGCTAAGAGTTTGTCTTAATTCTCAGGGGAAACTTTAGACTTGGACTTTTCAGCAATGCTGCAACTGATAGGACTTTGGCAACTCTTAAAGATGAATGAAATGGTTTTTTCATAGAGGTGCTCATGAGCTTTTGGTGACCAGAGGAAGAATGTTACAGCTTATGTCCCCCAAAAGCCTCATGTGGTTATAGGTGAGGCTTTTCAGAGCTGGCTGCATCTAGGATGTGTGAGGCTGGGATTAAGATGTGGTACTGGGATTGAGGGTTTGTGATTACTAAATTAGTCCATTAATTGTTTTAGCGTAGTTCTAAGTGTGGATAATAGGAAGGCCCACCCTGGGTGTGGGTGGCACCACCCAAAAGGCAGGTATCCTAGAAGAGATAAAAGAGAGAGGCTGCTGCTGCTGATTCTGCTGCTGTTGCTTCTTGCTGCCTTGCCACCTCCTGTCTGTTCTATTTCTCCTCTGGGATGCCTCTCTGCCATGCTACCCTGTCTTGGAGCCAGCCAACTGTAGGCTGAAACCTCTACAAACTGCGAGCTATAATAAACCACTTCTCCTTTAATTTTGGGTGTTGGGTATTTTGTCTCAGCAAGGACAAAACTACCCCTAACCCTAACACAGGAGGCATATACACTCTTCCAAGCCAGATCCACAATGACCCATCTCTTCCCACCTGGCCTCACCTGTCTGGCTTCATGACACCCAGCTATAAACCCATAAGTGGACTACTCTAATATCACATGCCTGTGACCCAGTATTACTCACCATGACCCAGTCTCCTCCCAAAAGTCCCATCTATGAGCACATGAGGCTTTGTGGGAATATTTATATAATAAGCCATAACAGGGACAAATTCAGATTTCATCAGTTTTTCCTTTTTTTCTCTTCTAGAATCAATGTTATTTTTAGTTGTCATGTCTCCTTCATCTCCAATCTTTGTCTCCTCCAGTCGGAGAATACCTTACTTTTTCCTGGCTTTTGTAAACTTAGCAACTTTGAAGGGTACAGTTCAATTATAGTAGCTTTCTGTTGCTGTGTAATAAATTATCACAAATGTAACAGCTTAAACAACTATTATCTCATGGTTTCTGCAGGCCAGAAACTTAGGGATAGTATAGCTGAATTCTCTGCTTGATCTCAGAAGGCAAAAATGAAGGTGCTGACTGGTATACATTTTTACCTGGAGTTCGGGATCCTCTCCTAAGCTCCTTTAAGTTGTTGGCCGAATTCATTTACATTAAGTTGTAAGGCCGAGGCCCTCATGGCTCCTTGGTCACTAACATTCCCAGCCACATGGCAGTTTGCCTCCCTTTGGACCTACTGGACAGTGACTTAGCTGCTCTTTGTCATTTTTATGGCTTACCTGATTAGGTTAGGACCATCCAAGACCATCTCCCTTCTGATTTAACTCAAATTCAAATGATCTAAGACCTTAATCCCATTTTCATGCATCATACTTGGACAGATGATACTGACATATATCATTCTTGATATTAACTTTGATCACTTGGTTAAGGTGATATCTACTGGGTTATCCTCTGTAATGTTACTAGTTCTTACTTTATAAGTACTATCTATTTTGGAGGAGGTACTTTGAGACTGTGAATATCCTATATCTGTTTAAATTTTTTCTCATTAATATTAACAATCACTGGTGATTTTGCAACTTCCACTGTTCCTGGCATCTACTAATTTGCTCTCCATCTCTATAATTTTTCATATTAAGAAGGTTATGTAAACATAATCATGTGTTTGATTCCGTACACAAAAAGTCATGTCTGTGATCCTTTGAGTAGACTTTTTCACTCAGCATAATGCCCTGGAGATTTCATCCAAATTGTTGGGTGTATTGAGTGTCCTGATAATTCATCCAAGTATTTTTTGCTGAATTGCAATGCATGACATATATGTACTTGGAGGTTTCTTTTTTAAATTTGAATATTACAAACTTCATTTGTTGATGTACAGTTTTATGGAATTTGATAAAATGTGTAGATTTCTGTTTCTAGCATCACAATGTTTTGTAAAATAGTCTTACCACAGACTACCTTCATGTTATCACTTTATAGTTGGCCACGCCCCAATCCTTGGGAACTATTAATTTCTGTTTGTCTCAATAGTTTGGATTTTTCCACAGTGTCATATGAATAGAATTGTACAATAGGTAACCTTATGGGTCTGGCCTCATTTACTTAGCAAAACAAATTTAAGATTCCATGTTGCTGCATGAATCAGTCTTTTAAGTTACAGTATGGTATTAGTATACTACCATTTGTTTTGGCATTCACAAGTTGAACGAAATCTATCTGGGTTGTTTCCATTTTTGGGATTGTGAATAAAGCTGCCAGATATAGTTGATTGTAAACCTGTGTGTGAACATAAATATTCATTTCTTTTGAGTAGATATCTGGAAGTAGGATAGCTATAGCACATGGAGGTATATGTATGTTTCATTTTATAAGAAATTACCAAACCATTTTCTAAAGCTGCTGTACTATTTTATGTTTACTTAAGTATGAGGATTACTGTTTTTGTCCTCACTAGCACTTGCTCTTTACTTTTTTTAGTTAAAATTTTTTTTATTTATTTTTATTTTTTATTTATTTATTTTTTTTATTTTAGAAATAAAAGGAGGAAAATACTAACAGACCAACAACATTTTACAAAATAGCATAGGATCAGTACAGACATTACAGAGTTACAAACAGAGTGGTAGGGAATTAACAATGCTTATTGTATTACATATTGATATCTTCAATGTAGTTAAAATTTTTAATTGAGATAATTGTAGATTCATATGCAGTTGTAAGAAATAATGCAGAGAGATACTGTCCCCCCATATCCATTGTGTCCTAACAGCAACATTTCATAAAACCATAGTACAGTATCATAAATATCAACAGGGATTCAATATACTAATCTTATTCAGATTTCCGGTTGTTACTTGTATGTACTTAGCACTATACAGTTTGTCAATATATAGTTGTATATGAAATACACAAAATAAGTCAGGATACAGAATACCCCTGTGACCACAAGGATCCCTTATTTTGCCCTTATATAAATGTAGCCATCTCTTTCCTGTCTACCTCTTTTCTCCATTACACCATTCACCACTAATCTGGTGTCCATTTCTATAATTTTGTCATTTCAAGAATGTTCTACATACAAGAAATACAAGAAAATCCAAACAATTCCCATAGCCATTTCTACAAAGGAGATATATAAATTAACAGTAAGCACAAAAAAGATACTTGGCATCAGTAGTTATTATGAAAATACAAACCAAAAACACAAGAAACCACTTGGCATCCATGAAGATTGCTATAATAATAAAATAATGGAGAAAAATTATTTAAGAAGATGTGGAGAATGATATTGCTGGTTGAAATGTAAAGTGGTGTAGTGGCTATGGAAAATAGTTTTAAAGTTCCTCAAAAGGTTAAACACAGTTACTGTATTACTCAGCAGTTCTGCTTCTAAGCATATCCCAAGATAATTGAAAACATATGCCTATTTACATAAAAGCATACATCATGAATATCCAAAGCAGTATTATTTATGAGCTCCTGAAGGTGGAAACAAATGCCAATCAGCTGATGAGGAGAAAAACAAAATGTGTCATATCTGAACAATAGAATATTATAAAGCTATAACAATAAATTATTGATACATACTATAACAAGATTGAATTTTATAAACATTATGCTATGTTGAAGAAGCCAGACATAATAGACTACATATATTTCATGTACATGAAATGTCCAGAACAAGCAGATTGATAAAGACAGAAAATAGATTAATATGTGCTAGAGGCTGAAGAAGGGCTGAGAAGAATGCTAAATGATATTAACAAATGCTGTATGGGTTTCTTTTTGTGGTAATGTAAACATTCTGGAATGTTGAAAATTTATGAGGTGTGATTTAAAATACAGTGCATGTTTAAATTGAAACATTTATTATAGTAAAATGCACATTGTTATCAGTTTTTCCCCAAATATTTCCCTGCACTGCTAACACACTCATCCCATCATTCTTGTCATGTACTGAAGCAGTTCTGGGAGGTCTTTTTCATAAGTGTCTTTAGTTGTGCTACTGTGGCTGCTTCGATAACCTGAATTGGTTCAAAACATTTACCTTTCCTGGCCATTTCACTTTGAGGAAGAGCCAGACCCAGTGAGTAGGTGGACGAAGACCACTGTCATGTTTTCATGAGCCTGTCCTTCTGTTGGATGGCACTCGGCAACAATGTGTTTTTGATCACATTTCATCTGCTTTGGTCACAGTCATGAACGAAAGAGGTTTTATAATTGCTTCAGAAAATCACAGGGACAATAAGATAAGGGTTTTTGAAGCAAGAGGAAATAGTTTGAGGGGGATTAATGGCAATGTCTCTCACTGTAATAAATTTTTTCTTTTTTAAGAAAATTTAAACATTCATTGCATATTTTGGTTATATTTTATGTATCTACAGCACATATTCAAATATATAATATTTATAACACATGGCAACTATAGGTTGTTTTCTCTGTAAATGTTAAAACTTGGAAGCAATCAAGATGTCCTGATAAACTTGCATCTGTCACTGATTGGCGGTGAGTTCTTTTGCTCAGTGCAAATGAAAGTCATAAGCAAGCACAGTATAGCTCCTTTAGTATTAACGGCCCTGATCTCTAAACGTCAGTGGCTATCATTTCCTAGGCTTAGTGGTCCTCCTTGCCACTTGGAGCCAGCAGGCCTGAGAGACTCCTCTCACCATCAAAGATGGCAGCTCCAGGGAATTCTTTGTTGTTATTGTTCTCTGTCTGCTGTCTACCATCAGTGTTACCAGCCTCAGCTCTAGGCTGCTTTTGGTGCCAGTGGCCTTTGGTGTTATCAGTTCTTAGTATACCAACTCAGCTTACTCTCCTTGAGGTAGAAAGCATGAATGGAGGAAAATATGCCATGTGAAGGAAACTTTATCAGGAGTTGCTGTGCAGTGTAAGTGGTACTATTGCGTAGGCTGACCCACTGAGGGTACAGGGGAAGTTGATTATCTAGAAGAAAAAGGCATGTTTTCGCATGTGCAGTGTCAGACTTTCTGTTTAGTTATAGGTCCATGCTTCTGACTGAGGATGGCTGAAGTGGGGCAGAGTCATCCAGAGAGCCTGTGGGGTGGGGTCATCTGTGATGGCCCTATGACTGAAGCTTGCAGCTGCCAAAGCAGATACCTCACTGGGTGGCCCTGGGGTCGCTGCCATGCCTGCGGTCAGCCGCAAGGTATTTGGGGCAGCCATGGAAGAAGGAGAAAATAAAAGTATCTCCCAGGAGAATTTGGCCTTTCCTGTTGTACATTTTGACAGTGTGGATGTGACAGTTCAGCACTAAAGAAATAAGACAGCAAGTCTTAAAAAGATGTTACTTGGGAAAGGCTACATTCTGTGTAATTCCAGCACCATGATATTCTGAAAAAGAACTAGTAAAACAGTAAAAAGATCAGTAATTGGAGAAAGTTTATTGTAATATTTTCTAAACATTGGAGACACTTCAAATTTTTATCATGGTAAAATGTATGAAAAAGTATTTGTTGAGATAGTATTTTGTATCTAAAAATAGTTAAATAGTTGACCATTGATCTTAAAAGGTTTAGTTTCTTATTATAAGACAAATCTAAACATTGATAGAGAAAAGTCTGATTCTGGAGGAAAAAATAACTAAGTTATGCTCTTTATTCAGGCAGAAGAAAACAAGAGATTAAGGGAAGGCCAGCTTGAACAAGAAGAAAAACTGGCTATGGAACTGGCAAAACTAAAACATGAAAGTCTGAAAGATGAAAAGATGAGGCAACAAGTAAGAGAAAACAGGTATCTTGGTTTCTACTACTTTGATTTATTTAGTATTTATCAATATGTAATCTTTAACACCTGAAAATGCAAATCTCTTTGCTATATTATTATACAGTGTTTTGCCTGGAAATGCTGGTTTTAGTTCAGAAATGTTCATTTGAGAAAATAAGTTGCATTCATAGAAGTGTAAATATTTACAGTGAAATTAAATATCAGTCCCATCTTCCCTCACACATAAACTTTTACTCTTACTATAAAAAATAGCCTCATGGAATTCTAGAATATATTTCTTAATGTTTCCTGTTATGGCTTGTATTTAGATGTCCCTCCAAAACTTTATATGCTCATAGAAGGGGCATTTCAGAGCTGGCTGGATCTAGAGTATATGATACTGGGATTAAGGATGTGAGGTACTAAATTAGTACACTGATTGGTTTAGCATAGTTCTGGGTTTGGATAATGAGAAGGCTTACCCTGGGTGTGGGTGGTACCACCGTAAGGCTTGTAGTCTGAATGGGATGAAAGGGAAAGGGAGGCTGCTTTTGCTACTTCTGCTGCTACTTATTGCTTACTGCTTTCTGCCTGCTTTGCCATGGATTGTTTCTTCTGCAGTGCCCATGTGCCATGCTCCCTGCCTTAGAACCAGCTAATAAACTGAAACCTCTACAAACTGAGCTAAAACAAACCTTTCTTCCTTTAACTTGAGGGTGTTGGATATTTTGTCTCACAATGAGAAAAGAAACTAATACAGTCCTCAAGACTGAATTACTTCCCAGAAATAGCCATATCACACTGTTGATCCACACTTACAGCCACATAAATGCCCATCCTGTATTTGTACAGTTGAATATTTGGAAATTTATTTTGATAGTTGTTCTACTTTGTTTTAGCTGAGCAGAGCTTCTATAGAACGTTATAGGACCATGGGTAAGCTTCAGGGGCTTGGAGTTTTATTGCATATGTTTAGTAAATACACTCTGTATTTTTCTGGGTCTACAAGTTTAATCAGATCCTCAAAGAGATTATTATCCTTAGAGAAATAAAATTGCTGCTAAAATCTGCATATTGTTCTGGCCTCAGACTATCCATTTGGACTCTTAATTCTAAAATTATTGTTAGCTATTACTCATGGTTTTGTATAACCTAAAGATGAAATAAATGTTTCCTCATTTGTTTGTCTAATTCACTGGTGATGAGTTAAATGGATGAATTTACACTTAGACTTCTGCAGATTGATTCAGGTAAATGTTCCCGCTGAGAACAGAAAGTCTGAAGAAAACACAAAAATAGCTGGAAGAGGAAGAAACTAGCATGATGAGCTTGACATTGGTGGCTGCGTTTCTCTTAGAGGTTTTGCTGATTCTAAAAGTATGGCTGAGTTCTGTGAGGCAGCACATGGCTAACATGCTTAATAGTTTTCTTTAAGCTTTACATGGAAAATTTCTGCACATTGGTGTGTGTGACCCTGTAATCTGATATGTTTTATTAGATAAGATGCAGATGAATAGATGTTTTGTGATAGCTTAAACTGCAGAAGAAAGCATGGAGAGACACGGGTAGAAACATACAGATGAGAACTTAAGAGATATGGGCTGTGGTGGAAATTATTAACAGATTTAAAGACAGTCATTTTAGTCCTGATAGTGGAGGTGAAAGGGGATGATGCAGAGCATTATTTGTAGAGATACTGACCAAGAATTTCTGAAAATGATAAAAGACATAAAGCCACAGGTATAAAACTTATAATCAAAACTCTACCTAAACTCTAAACCTATCAAATATCCAAAATCCAACTTTATAGAATACAATTTTATAAAAACTAAAAGCAGCCTGAAAAAAATGTGCATTAGCTTCAAAGAAGCAACATTAAGGAGTATAAATTTTGAATAAGAACAGTAAAAATAGTAAGATAGTGGGCTCTGGTGGCACATACCTGTAATCCCAGGTGACTGAGTCTGGAGAGACTGAGTCTGGAGGACTACCATGAATTTCAGACCAGCCTGGGCTACACAGTGAGACTCTGTCTCAAAAAAAAAGAAAAGAGCCGGGCGTGGTGGCGCACGCCTGTAATCCCAGCACTTGGGAGGCTGAGGCAGGAGGACCTTTGCAAGTTCAAGGCCACCTTGGGCTACAAAGTGAGCTCAAGGGCAGCCTGAACTGCATAGTGAGACCCTGTCTCAAAAATAAAAAAAAAAAAAGGTAATGGATCTAAAGTCCTGAAAGACAATTACAGCCCATGCAAAATTCTATACCTTGTAAGAATTTTCTTCAAACTTCATCAAAAAGTGACTCGATTTAATAGTCTCAGAAAGAATTTGATGACTCTCAGCACTGTCAAAATTGCTAAGAGTTTATAAATGTTGCGCATAAACCATGCTAATGTTTTGGATGACATGCAGAAATAGACTTTTTTAGATTGGTATATTCATCTACAAATTAGCAGGTCTAAACTCAAGGAACTGTTTACTGTGATACTTAAAATGTATCCTAAGTAATTCAAAATCACCTATGTTGTTTTGACTACTTAAATTTAAAAGAAATTAATTTTTATAACATACTATAAATTTTTCAAATATTAATTTTGAAAATACTTCTTGAAATTCAGAAATTATGAGACATCTATTTTTACCATGATTTTATAATTAAGAAAATACCTAAAGACAACTTAATCACTGCTTTTAACACTCCAGTTAGGAAAACAATACTTACTTGAAGGAATCCTATTTTTAATGATGCCACTAATCAATAATTATAATTAATTATACAACCAATTAACTTTGTATTATAATTAATGCAGAATTAATAACATTATTCATTGCATAATTACATTATTTATATGTATCACTATACATTTATTACGTATTTAAGCATATAA